ATCCCTGACTTAGGACATTAGCCAGGAGTATCAGTCAAAACCAAGAGATTTACACTGTTATTTACTACCCGAGCAGCAGTGGAAGTCAAGGTATAAGATCACTCACAGAGCTGCAATGACTCAATCAATAATGCTGCAGAACATAAATTCCTACTAGAAACAAACAAATGCAAAACACAAATACTGACACCATGAGTGAACAGAGCTCCGTTCAGCATGAGCCCAAACAAGTCTGAAAATGACTTTACATTGGTTTTACACTTCTGCCTGCTGGGGTACATTTATCACTGAAAGCAAGTTCTCCTGATGTACAGCTCATCTAATTTGCAGTCACTGCTTGTAGCACCTTCCTCCCCTCTCCTATGCCACATCATGGTCATTCTGGGAGTTTATCACTGGAGTACAATGACTATTACCTATGCCAAATACAATAGTCACATCACCTATAACATGTATAAGAAAGGCACAAAAAAGTTACAATAACTTTTAACAATTATTACAGCACAGTAATTCCCCAACACAGAGCCAGGCCCTTCTCCATGCCAACATTCAACCATTTCAGCAGAAACAGTCCCTACATGAAAAAACACTAATCAACAAAGTTTTTGTAATGCTATAACTGTCCAGTTTTCAAAAGGCATCCAGGTAAAGCTATCAAGATAGAGTTAAGATAATCTAAAAATTATTGTATCAGACAGAAGTTCACCTGCCTCAAAGGGGACAGCTTTGGGGTATCAGCTAAATATAGACTCTTCACATACTCAGGTCATTGCAATTCCAAGACGACAAAATTGTATCTTACCAAGACTGAACTCCAGCTTTGGCTCGTTTGCAATTCTCTGAATACCTTTCAGGAAAAAGAAAAAAATATATCAGAAATAATTAGATTTCAATGTCTAGCTTCCTAATACATAATAAAACTTTCACATGCCTAATTCATACCTCTAACTAACTGCCATTAATTCTATTTTTGAAGAAGACATTTTTCTTTTTAATAGAAACTTTCTGTTGCTGGGAAAGGAAACCAAGGGGAAAAAAACCCAACAAAAACGAACCAGCCTTTTATAGTTCTACTTGACAAGTTGTGTACTTGTAAGATTTTCTATCACAACAACTAACAACATATCTGATGAAAAAATATTAAATCTAATGACTCATTTTTAAGTACTGATGTCATCACATTAAAAACAGACAAAAAAAAACATTCTGTGGAAGTATGTAAATCGGGTTAATACAGTAGACTAGAACAGCTACATATATATTGTAAAGCAACAAACCCAACTTCTTTTTGGTTTTGGAAAATAGCACATTAATTCCTTTTCTCGTATACCAAGAGCAATAAGAACACTTCAATTCCCTTGATTATGGAATTATATTCTAGTGCGTATTTTAGAGAAAAGGCCAATATTTTCTTACTGCACTGAAGCAGTGAACCACAGAGCAGCAACAAGAGAAATGTAGGAAGGATAATTAAAAAACACAGTTGTTCACCCACTGCAGGAAGTAATTGCATCACAACTATGGTATCAATGAACCTCGTAGAAATTAAACTGTCTCTTGTTGACATTTACATGTTGTCTCCAGTGAGCATTATTGAGTATTTGCCATTACTGAAGAAATTGGTCAGATGGGAAAGACCAAGTATATGAACTGAAACGCAAGATTTTTGTTAAAAATTAAAAACGTTTAAAAAACAACCCACAAAAAAAACCCAACCCACACTGTTCTCACTACTATAGCTAATCATTCAAGTCTGTGCTAGAAAAATCACAGCCGAAGAGCTTAGAAAGGCCTTGGTCAATAAGAGATAACATGATTTCATTTTATTTTATTTCTTTTATTGGAATTATACCAAATTTCTGAGTTGAATTCTGCTACTAGCAGCATCAGCATATTGGTCTGGAACACCTTTATCAATATGCGGTATCATCTGTATCAAGGATACGGACTTAATTAAGTAGCTGGGTAACTGAAATATAGTGCCCAGACTCCAGAGCACTAAAGATGACTCAACATATGGCTACGTGCTTTCAAATCCCCAGAGTCCTTTTGTATCACAAAAAACAAATCTGCAATACTAATTTAAGTATCACTAAAGCTTTGTACACATTTATCAAAGCTATCAGGCTACATTTACATATTCATATAGGACACATATGAACATTTTACATGTTCATATAGGACACAAAAGAGAAAAAGAATAACTAAATAACGTCTAAATCTTAAGAAGAAAACAGATTAGGGAGACAAAGTCAGAAACAGAGTGATCACACATTTGTTCCCTGAAGGTTATCTGCATAAATAAAAATACATCAGGTAATGACATTTAAAGATAATTTTCATCAGTTTACTGCCTCTACAACTGCACTTTGTCAAGCAACAAAGTCAAACAGCATTATGCACCCTGTTTGTGAATCTACTTGTAGTGATACAGAGAGCAGGCCATTTTTATTGTACCACTCAATAATACTCAATAAAATGAGTATTATGCACTTACTCGTAAACTGTGGCTCTCCTAGGCTATCTACTTGGGATGAGGGGACAAACTGTCGTGCTTCATCTGATGATCTCTCCTCTTTGATTTCCATGATCAACCTCCGGAGCTGCTGAATTTTATTCTGCAAACCTTCCGAGTTTGCCTCTCCCAGTGCCACAGCCCAGGATTCGCAGTCTGGCTTTGATGCAGCTTCAAGGTAAAGATCTGGTTCTCCGCTCTGAAACTCTGCACTCAGAAATCAAACACAGTTTTTAGGATCATGAAAATATTGATGTCACACAATTAAAAGCATCACACACACATTTTTTCTCATAGTCAAAGAACCATGCACCCCAGCCACCTCTTGAATCAAACTCCCAGTTCTTTTGTACTCAGTGCTGTACTAAGTCTATCCCCAGAGTGGTTCTGAGAGCTATTAACATATTGCTAAACTAGGTGGCAGAATCAAACTGAAATACGAAATCCTTCCTTAGCACAGATTCCACAGCCTAGCAGCTCCTCTGTGAAGACTCAACAGGTTGTATATGGGAGCTTCTGACCTCATTAATATCCACATGTTGTTTGCTGTTCTGCCTGAAGTCTAATTGTTAAACAATTAAATTCTCTAAGACTAAATGAAAAAGGAGGGGAAAAAAAAAAAAACCCTGAAGCTCCCAAGGAATCCAGGTAAGTAGCAAGGGTCAGTCATTTGATTAAGATTAGAACAGGAAGAAAAAACACCTAAGGCATTTCAAATTCCGCAGTGTAGATGGCTTCACAGAGGCACAAATTCAATGTGACATTTAGTGCAACAAGCACTGAAAAGAACAAACTGAGAAAGAAAAAAAAAAATAAAAATCAATGCTTCTTTAAAACAAGTTACCAAATGATTTAGAAACATAAAACTCTATAAAACACCTGTGCTACTGTATTAATCAGGACTGAAGTATTTGTTTGGACATCAGAATCATTTTGATCCAAATAAGCCACAGATCACATTACTGGATGAAACAGAACACTTAAATGTTTTCATACTTAGTTTGAAAATCCAAACAGCACAGAGAAGTTTTTTTCAGTACAAAGTAAGCTTAAATTCCCTTTTACTAGCTTGAGTATCTGACCTTGGGCACTTACCCACATGTTATTCTAAACCCGTTTGCACTTCATAAACTGAGCATCTGCCACTTACAATTAACTCCGTTTTTATTGTTGGTGGGGGGAACAAAAGATGCAAACCTCAAGTCTGGAAGCCTCCTAAACTTTACCAGCAAAAATCCCTGTAGAGGTAAGACAAGTTTCTTGGTGATGTATCTGAGGAAATCCGTGTGACTGCAGCTGCTGCTAAGAATGCTGGATTAGATTTCACATACCAGTCAGACTACAGAATTCACGCGGAAAGACTGGAAAGAAGAGCAGAAAGTGGAGGAGTCTTTCTGGATTCACAGGCAACTTAAGAAGTGCTAATAAGGATTCAAACTCTAGCCTCAACCCTGTCTCAGTCATAAAACAAGGTATTCTGTTCTTGAGACAAGAATATTCAAAATCTGAAGGAGCTACATATATTCATCAGATCCTTGTTTACACACAAAATGCCCACTTGAATGAACAAACCTGAACAAACTGCTTTTTACCGTTTGTCAAAAATGAATTTAGAGACACAGAAGTTTCAGCTGGAAGCTCTTATGGTATCTGCTACTGCATTTGAGCCATGATGGCAGTAACCTTCAAAAAGACTGAAAATCAGAAGAGGTGATAACTTTTCTGATGCTCTTTCATAATACTTTGGAGCTGCCAGTGGAAAAAGGAAAGGAAAAGAGGCAGGTAGTTAACCAGCATCATGACCAAAATTAACCAGCACTCATTCTAGTTAAAGAAAAAAAAAAAAAAAAAAAATCTAGGCATGCAAAACACCTGCTTACACCATTCAGCATTTAAAACAACTTTAATAAAAGCAGCCTGAAAATCCAAGATACATTAGCTAAGGAAAGACTTCAGAGAAACAAGCCAACGCTTAACATCCAAAATACGAGTCCAAGGTGTTCTTTTCTTTTTTCTCTTCATTTTTAAATGTAAATAGGAACAGCGATCTTGTCTTGAAATATCCTACCAGTAGCTAGAAAAAAAACATCTGCTTTGGGAGGAAATCAATGTTTTGCAATTGAAATCATGCTATTTATATTTACTTCTTCGCTGTGGAAATCAGACTGCCAAGCACAAAAAGCATACTGAATCACCCTTAATATGCACGGAACACAAAATGGATAGTGAAATGCAGTAGGACTGGGCATAATTCACTGTATTCTGATCTAACAGGTGCCAGGTTTGCGATCTGGAAATTCATTCTAAACTATCACTTCAAAACACTACAGTCTGCTATATTTAGATCTTCAGAGTACTCTGACAGCTAAGTTAAATTCTGAAAAGCATATTAAAATACCTGAAAATATTCATCACTGCAAGTGTAGAAAGTTTTATTTTGCAGATCCAGCAGTTGGCAAGTCATATATTTCCCACAGTGTTTCAATGCATGTAATGTTTACGTACAAGTTCACATACTAGAACACACACAAGCCATGTCCAAAATGCACACTGGCAAACACGTCTGTGGCAAGAAAGGAGCAGACAGGTTTGTTTATATAATAAAGATCATCAGCTCTTTTCTCTCCCAGACTATGGGGACTGTTATTTTAAATCAGCTGCATACAGCAAACCCTAAAAAGCTCAGACAAAACTTAGTTGAAATGAGTCTGAAATTAACAGACCCACAAATGTAATGAAAGCCTTGAATGAGTAGCAGACGCATTAGCAGAATTATATTTGTATTGCATCTGAAACGCAAGAGTATTTCACAGGTAGACAAAAGCACTTTATAATTTACAATTAAGAAGTTACTGTACATGAGCATCCTTTGTTATGCTGAGTTACCGTGAGTTAGTTTTAGAAAAAAATCTTGACCTTTTCAGGACATTTACCACTGATTTCAACAAGATCAGTTCCTAGTTTTACTGTTACAATTTCTGAATAAAAGGGCATGTAAGATTTAAGAATATAGAACACTAAGAAAATTTTCTATTTACTTGGGAATCTGCAATAGTAGAACAGTAATTTTCATCTTACTGCTGGACATTGCTAGTAGGTATTCAAGTTCGATTGCATAAACCCAGAGAAGACATTCACACTGTGAAGCACAACAGCTTTCATTGCAAAACAAACACTCAACTAACTAGCCTTAAATTAAGTGCAAAATGGTATGTAATTCTGTCTTCACCTCTTTTTCTTCTTGAACCAAAGGTGGTCTACATAGTTACAAGAAGCAACGTAAGACCTTTTGATAGCTTGCATAAACTCAAAAACAGAAATAAAGGGAAAGATTCCGAGGCCAGACACTGGGACATTGATGTAACCAACAGTTACCTGAAAGCATCTGTCCCAACAATAGATTTGTATATATCTAACTGAATTCATTATCTATCTAAATCAACATTTTACAAAGCTTTGTCCTCAGCTTTTCCCAAGATCTCTCATTTGTTTCCTGGAAGCTAGCAGAGTGCTTAAAAGTAAGAGTACTGCTACTATACTATTTACATTAATACAAGAGCAAATCTAAAAATGTGTGAAGTCAGATGTATTTATATTTGCCATTAAACACTACTCTGCAATTACAATAAATTGCCAGCTATAAAATATTTCTTCTCATTTCTCTACACTGTTAGTTCAGTTCTGAACTGTCCAGCTGAAAACAAATTAATGGTCACAGCTACTAGCCACAGGAGGTGAGGAGGGGAGAGAAGAGGCCATATATCACTAACTTTAATGCATGAAATGGTCTCTAAATGTTAGCACTGACACTTGGATAACACAAGTGACACTTGGATAAAGCTGCAAAAGCACACTAACACTGAGGGATCATTGACAAAATCTGTGGGAACAAATTCTGTAGCAGAGCATTCTGTGTTTGCTCTACAGCAGGTGGATGTAGCTCACAGCCACTTTGCCACTGGTGTTGCTAGGCACAAGTTTTAAAGCAAAGTTTTGTGGTCTAGAAACTGTCCAACTTCCACAGTGTGTTCCAACCCTCAACTTCCAATACCTAAAACCTTCCTCCTTCCGATACCTAAAGCTGTGGCTGCCCCATCCCTGGCAGTGCTCAAGGCCAGGTTGGACATGGCTTTGAGCAACCTGATCTAGTGGAAGGTGCCCCTGCCTGTGGCAGGGGGTTGGAACTAGACAATCTTAAGGTCCTTTCCAACCCTATGCTATGATTCAAACCATTCTATGATTTTATGACTTCCCATCCCTCAACACACAAAGCAGGCAGAAACAGAGACATCACTTACACTGACATTACAGAAAGCTAACCTTCTTGAACTGGAGATGCCTCACTAGCAGGTGCTTAGTGGCCCTTCCAGCAGCTTGCTTTAAAAGAAATTACTGGCAAGATTTAAATAAAACCACATACAAAGCACATGGTCAATATCCAGGATGACAGTCTCTCCTTTTTCTAAAGAATCACTATTTTTCCTCCTATACAAACATGCAAAGTAAGAGAGTTCAAAAAGGTTAAAGGTTGCCTCTCTTCACACACACCAGCAAAAAGTAATTCTCAGGTATTACCTGAGCAGTGGAAAATGGTTGAGAATATCAATGAGCCACTGCCACTCTAAAATATAAAGCGCCATCGCAGCTAACCACCATATGCTGTAACAAAAGTAGAATGGAAGCTTTGATACATAAATTATATCCGCAGGATATTTCTAACACGGACATCAGAGGCTTTTAATTCACAAAGCTGACTGAATTCTATATGCTGATGCATTTCATGTTCAAATTAGCAGTGATGAAATCATCTTGTGGTTACTCATGGTGCTAAGTTAATCTTGCTTTGGAAGTTAAATTTTCAATCAAAGATAAAAAATTTAATTAAAAATTTTATCTTCAGTGTTGTTTTTCATATTTTGCCACACTGGAATAAACTTCAATAGAGATTGCAATGGTAACTTGTATAAGTCCCCACAGAAGCCTGAGGTATTTGAAATTAATATAGTATGATATCCCAGGTTGACTACTGCAGCACAAAACTTTGTTTCTTTTAATACCTGCAGGCTTTCACACATGCCACATCCCCTTTCATTAAGTAACTACCATGTCTATGGCAGAAGCAAGGCAGACCACACAAATACTTAAATACCACAATGGTATCTCAGGATCACTGAGGAGAAATACCATAGCACTCACTTTACGTAG